CTCAAGGCGTTTATTCCAAAGGGATTCTTCGGTTTTGGCCTTGAGAAGAGAGTAAACGAGGGTCATGTTCTCTCGGACATAGGGCTCCTGAATGTAACGGTTGTAAAAGTAGTTGGATTCTCCCACAATGTGGGGAGTCATCCTGGCATAGCCTGAGAGGAGATCATACTTCTGCTCAATCATGGGAGTTTAGGCAAAATTAGTTGCAGGATTCATAATGTTGCAAACATCAATGATTTCATATTGCTCCATGTGCATACTGAGAGTCTTGAGCATGTCCTTTAGATTCTGGACTTACTCAAGTATGCCATGGACATCAGTCTGGAGGGACTGTGTGGCCAGTTTGACATGCTTTCCCAGAATGGGAGCTGTGGCAGCTCTAACAAAGGTCTGTCTAACATCATCAAGGAGAGTATGGCGCTTCTCCTTATCCCATAGGCGAGATTGATGAGGTCCACTTGGATCTTGCAGTAAAACGGTGAGGGTACGGCCATCCATCTGGAGGTGGTGGAGGACTTCACCATGAAGGTCTTGTACTTTCTTCTTCCTCTCTCATCATTTGTCATTGCATCAGTGTACCGTCATCAATGTTATGTCATTATTACCACCTCCACCTGGACCACAGGGACCACCTGGACCACCGGACAGCGTCTGGCTTCCAAGTTGATTCTCTGGATCAGGTGTAGTGCCGTTATCGTCGTCTTCGGGAGGATCCGGCTCAGGGTCAGGCTTGGGTTTTGATTGCGACTTGGATTTCTTGCGAGAAGTAGAGGTCGTGGTCGGACCGGCAGTGCCGCTACTACTACCTCCACCTGCGACGAGAGATGCGTCGGAATCTTCTTGCGGGAAAGTCAGACGGCGAGAGGTCAATCTGCAAAGACGGGAGGTTGTCAGGTCACCTCGCGCGCGCTGAACCAAGTTCGAGGCCGGCGGTGATTTCATCAACGCTGGAATCTGTGGTCAACACCGCGCTACTGTCGTCGCTTTCGTCGATCCAGTTGTTCTGTTGTCAAGGTCGGGCCACAGACCAGAGTCGGCGACCTAGAGGACGGAAGGTTGTGGTGAGTAGGATGGGAATGGAGAGCTTTCATCTTCGAGGTCTCTAGTCTCTTTTCTACTCGGGTTATGTTGAGTGCTAGTTCGCGTCATGTTCGGCTTGGAATTGGCGCCATTTTCGAAGTGATCTGGAGGTCCACTTCGAAAAAAGGAGGAGCGACAAACCAGCGAACTGACGAACTTCAGGTCAGGATCCAGCTCAAGTGCCACATCATCCTGTGAATGGTATCCAGGATCGCGTATGACTTCACATAGGATTGGTAGGCGAGACTACAACGTAAGGTTGTCTCTGACCTGGACGTCGTCGTCAACAGAATGGTTGTCAGCCATTTGGATTTCGACGTGGAGCTCAGCTCAAGTTGAGCTTGCGTCTTGCGGTCACACCATCATCTTTATGTGACCTGATTCTCTTGTCTGAATTATGCCGAAAAACGGACAAGATCCAGCTCTCATCGACCGACATGACGAGAGAGGTAAACATCGGTTTTTCGAACGCAACAATCGCATCAAACTCACTCCGCAGCTTACGTGAGGTAAACAACCTCCACCTAGTCCGGCTTGGGTGCAAGTGTGACGAACAGTTGGGCTCATACCTGCGAACGGAGGCCGATGTGCAGTACGATGTAGACATGGGATGACACAAAAGATAAGCTAAAAATTAAAAGGGGATTCTACGTCTACCTCGTTCTAGCGAGTCCCGGGAGGTTCACCTCGTGATTGCCAACCACCAGCTGGTTTTGGCTCCTCTCGCATCCGTCTAAGCAATCGCCTTGCATTCCGGAACCTTGATGGCGTACCGGTACCCTACCGGTACTTTCCAGCTTCTCGTGTTTGGCGGGTGCTGTACTGTACACTAGTGTTTCGATGGATCAATCATTCCCCACACCTCCGGTATCATACGTTTACCTTCAAACGCCACTGCCAAACGGTGCCATGATGGCGCCATGTTGGTGCTTTTGAACGGACGGATGATTCAGATTCTCATTCGATTCTGACTCAATCGATTTCCGAGATGGAACTATGCATACAACTTGTAGCATGGTGACTGCCGGCTTGTTGGATTGGATTCGATGCCGCAGAAAACATGCAGGTACCAGTACGCTGTGCTAGCTAGCACCGCCAAATCACACTCAAACGATTTTTACATGTAAAGGCAACCCCAAAGACGTCGTGCGTGACATGCTAGCAACACAAGCTACGATAAGTTTACAACAGGTGTACGGAACGGTATCTGTTTGTTTGTTCGTGGCTGCCTCCTTTCCAATTCGAAGAACACACTGACTCGATTCGATTCGATTGGCTGCCATGGCGACCATCCCAACTCGACTCGACTCCCCACAAAGTTCAGCACAAATTGGATCACCGTTTTCCGACCAATGGAGTGATTTGTTGAGTGTTGTTGTTTTTCTACGCTACGCTACTCTACTACTCTGCAAATGGTTCCATTTCTTTCATGGAGGAGTCTCTCATGCTGGTTCCCGATTGTCGTTTGTTGAGTTCGAGTGTGGAGAAGTGTTGGGAGGGTGACAAGCTTTCCACGACGTATACTTCCTTGCATACGGGGCACTTGTCTTTTTTGTCGCCTTTTGCTTTTGCCCAGTGTTTGGTCAAGCAAGCTTCGTGATATTCGTGATGACATTCTGGATTGCTGGAATGCGTGACGGGTTCTCCAATTTGGTACTTTTTGCTGCAAAGTACGCATCGAGGCGTAATGACCGACTGTCGGATACTGGCCACATTGGAACTACGAGTCGTCGCCGTGGAAGCTCGAATAGAGTTGGAAGCTCGATTGGAGTTGGAGGATGTGGAGGACGAGACGGTGGTGTTGGAAGCTCTTGCGTTTTGCTTGCTAGCGTCGATATTATTGAGAGAATCGCTGCCTTCGGACTTGATGGTCTGGGAATATTCTTCACCTTCCTGAAAGGCCACACTGGGAGTAAGGCGTTCAAATCGAGTGGAATCCTGAAATGTCTTGGTGGGAATTTTCTTGGTTTCTCCTTCTTCCACTTTGAAAGAAAATGAGACAAGCAAACAAGCAAAAGGTGAGTCTTACGCCAGGTCAACAACTCATTTCCGCGTAAGATAAGGCAACCAAAGAACACTTGGATCTCCCTGAGGCCCGCATAAGTCGACCTCAAGTCGACCTCAGGTGCTCTTGGGTTGGCCTAAGGTCATCTTAAGCTCCCTGAAGCCAGCTTAAGTCGACCTAAGAGCGTCTGAAGCTCTTCTGAAGCCAGCTTAAGTCGAACTGAGAGCACCTGAAGCCAGCTTAAGTCAATCTGAAAGCACCTTAAGCTCTTCTGAAGCCAGCTTAAGCCCGCATAAGTCGACTTAAGAGCCCACTGAAGCCCACATATACCACCTTCAGCCTCCTTGAATCACCCTGAATCACCCTGAACATGTGTAACTCACCATCCTCTGCTTCTTTCTTGTTGTGTACGCCACAGCACCATTCTTGCTTGTACGAAATGTAAAAGACGACTGCCGTAAGCAGAATGGCAAAAGCGGCTAGCGACAACATGGCCGCCCACAGTGGAAACTCAGAGCCATCTTCCTCGTCCTCCGAGTCTTGCACCTTGGCGTATTCGGCGTACTTGTCATCGTTCACAAAGAATACCTCTTCGTCTTCCAGGCCTCTCAATAAGTTGTTGTTGTTCTTGAAAATACTCATCTTGACAACATACATACATACATACATGCATTCACAATTCTTTACTAGTCTACTGTATTCAGAAAAATAGCGAGAATCAGAACAGATAGATCAAACAGCCAAGCAACTAAAACTCAACTCGGGAAATGTACCGTAAAAGGACCTTCTCTACCGATCGGTACCAGTTCGTATATTATTACCACTGAGGAAAGATCAAATGTTCGACAAAAAGAGTTAGAAGAAAAATGAGTTGGTATTCCTGCCTGCCAAGTCGCTGTGCAGTTTTGCACCCTCATCTCTGACGAGGATCTTTCTTTGGTACTTATCAACCTTCTTCAACTTCATCTAAAGACTTATTAGAACGATGATGGTTAGATGTAATGGTACAGTACTAGTACAGTACGAGAGTAATCTAATCGCACCACCACTCAAGAAAGATCCAACTTGACAGAAACATCCCACAAAATAGGCCAATACAATGTAACCATTCATCCCAGGATAGAAAGATGACGATGAGAGAGCCTTCCTTACCCTGGCTGGATGTAACCGTGTGACCACACTTCATCTTTAGAAGGAGCCAATGGTGACATCATGTTGGGGGATAGCGACGGTTGCTTGCAAGGCTATGTATGGTACAAGACCATCCTCAGCCATCACCATAAACACAGACCCAAGATTTGCTTCTTCAGCCATGGCTGCATAGTTGCAAGGTATGTATGCGTTGGAGCTCGACATGGATTCAATGTACAGTCCGCCCTACGGGACTTCTTGGCTACCCGAATAGTATTCAAGCAAGGTGCAGTATTGTCTTGACCGACCCATTATTGCGTCAAATAAGTTTTTAAAAATGAAAGTGTATGCTTCTCTTTTTCTTGGCTGCAACCTCCTCGAACTCGGCACGGACGGTAGCAAGCTTGTACAATGTAGTGCGATTTTGTTGAGCTTCTTCCATACTACTAGTACTACTAGTAGACTACTTTAGCTAGCCAACTGCTAGACGCAGACTCGACTCCCATACGGCATCCTTTTCTCAGACGAAGTTCCACTCCGCCGCGGTGATTAACTCAAGTGGTTCAAGTTGAACTGCGGGTCAGGCCTTGCAACGCTGTTGGGTATATTCTGTACCCAGTACCGCTGGCTAATGCTGGACAGTTTTGCTTTCGTGATCACTACTAGTACTAGTACAGATCACGACGTACTCCACGTGTTCCAGAGCAACCAAGAGCTCAACGCATTCCCACGCACTTTAGAAAGCCGCAGGTTCAACGCTGCGAGCAATATCATCGTCTCACCACGCTACCGGTAGCCTCAGTCGAACAAAAGGAAGAAGAATCATGGCACCACAGGGAAGGTTGCATCAGTTGCTTAGGCTGACCGGGCACTCAAGGAGGAACGTCTCTTGATGTGGGTCCTCTTTGGCCTGAGCATAGGAAAACAATCTTGGTGGTTGTTTGTCAAGCCAAGGGTGCTCTCTTTGGGTAAAAGTGCTGGCAATGACTTCAACACAGCGGGCTCGTTGTTGGAAGGTGAAGGAGGAAAGAAGATTCTTGGCAGTGGTTGCTCTGTCTGATCAGCATCATCAGCAATAACATCAACCATAGGAACCACAGGACAGTCCATGTATCCGACGGTGGCGTCCTCCTCCATGAAGGAACTAGAAGCACGAAGGCGTCTCTTGAGTCGAGGAGGAGAGGGGAGAGGGTTGCCTTGAGGAGTCATGCCGATGAGGTCATCTTCATCAGGCAAGGTCGGCATGAAGAGTGCACTGTTGCCACTGGCTCTTGGAGTCAGCAACAGTGGAGCATACTGGGCTGGTCTTGGGGCCGCGGGAACGTCCATGGCCATTCTCATGCGTTTGCCAGGAGATGCAGGGGCAGGAGTTACAGAGGCAATATCCAACAGCAGACCAGGGCGCTTTCGGTCGACAGTTGGGGGAGATTGCGGTTGCTGTGGGAATGTCATTGTTTCTTTGCTTGGTTGGTTTTGATCGGGGGCTTGCTGGGTAGATAGCTTACTGGTTGGTTGCACTATAAAGTTGCCAGGTAATGGTTTTTGAACTGTGGATTGGCAAATTTGTGAGCTTTTGAAAGTGTGAAGGAGCTGACTGGTGGGGGTGTTCGCGGGTCATCGCTCCAATCCCACGAACGGGAAGTTGCAGGAAGGATCACCAAGTTGCGGCCATGTTTCAATGAATGCTGCGCTATGTCTTGCTCTGGTTCCGGTGGGTTCTGACTGCTGAGAAGCAAATCGGTGAACTTGTCTGCGGTACGGTAGAGACAAGAAGCGGTGGTACCGTACCGCATGATAGTTGCGAGCGAGATGCTGAGACTCGTGTGTCACGGACTTTGTATCAAGAGAGTGTACAACTGGCTGGCGTTGGGTTGGCATCGATTCCCTAGCTACATGTAGTAGTTAATCCGGTCACATTCGCGCGCGGTAAACACTCTCCGTAATCGCTCTGCCGATCCTGCCCAATCGTATCGGCAAATAAATGACCCTTGGAACTCCATCCAACGGTCTCCAATCCAAAAGGGATATGAGTACCGGTTCTGCAGGTTCCCTCCAAGAGTATTCCGACCAAGCTAGGGTGTCGTTCTTTAAGACCTTTCAGGGTCATAACTGGAATAATTACAGCGGGGAGGGGAAGTGGGCATGCAGGCTCTCGTCATTGGCATTGGTTTGGATGCGTTTTCTTGGTAGCACATTCTACGCAGAACCGAGTGTCATTGGCGGGCCGGACAATGTACCACCGGCTACCGTATGGCTATTATAGCATTATAGCTAGCTAGTAGTGGAGTAGTGGATTGCTAGCTAGCTAGTAGTCTAGTTATGTAATCACAGTTCGCTGTTGTTGGTAGCCAACGCCACAAGCCACTGTACTACTGCATGTACCATTGTACCGGCCAGTAGCCGCAACAAGACCACTGGGAAGCTGGAGGTATGTCGAGACAATGTCCTTCCCCTTCTCGAAACAATGTGAGGATTTGTGGAGGACGGTTAACAAGAATGCCGCAGTTGACCATTATTTATACAGTGTACCAGTGACAACGGCACGGCCAACCCGAGGGTCTTCCTCTCTTCAGCAATCCTCAATCCTTGCAAAATAGCTGCAAAATCAACAAGGCCTCACAGTAGCCTAGCCTCACAGCCTCACAGCTCTCAGCGGCCTCACAGCTGAAAGTATGTAGTAGCTAGAAAGGATTAGTAGGAGTACGTGCGTACCAGTATTAAATAGTAGTAATCAGGGTTCGCTAACCAGTTCTTTCGGTTACCGGTTATTTGACATTTGGTTACCGGTTGTTCGATTTGGTTACGTAACCGGTAACCGGCAACCGGGACCTCGCGATAACCGGTTACTCAACC